GAGTTGAAAGAGTGGTCTTCTTCTCCTTACGGGCCTAGTACTCTACACGGCCGCAAAATTCTGCTCTGTGGATCCTTTGAAACTGGTCTTCGTTGGCCTTCTTCTTGAACTTACGTGGTTCGTTATACTTTAGTTTCTTAAATTCTTTCATCTGCTGCTTGGCCAAATATTCGTTAACGCGCTTGATTTGACCAACGGTTTCTGTTAACAAATCTTTAAACGAGTCCATTAACTGTTTGTTATTTTCCTGAATGAGATCGGACACTTCGGCTTTGCTGACGCATATAACGAAAGAAAGAGCCAATAAGAACGTTAAGAAAAACCAAAGAGTGGTTGGTTCGTAAGCCTAGATGACGTACACGTGATATACGCAGCCTTAAATACCCCCGATATGGTTACCCATGGTGCACCAGGCCCAGTACCCAGGCCCTGTTGTATCTCGCGCCGTCAAAATATTTATTTCTGCCTTCTTCGCGGGCTCATTCGTCAGAAATAACATTTCTTTTAACGTGTTTTATGCCGTCATATGACCATTACAAATGTTGATATTTTTCCACAATGCTGTTAAGTTACTTAACTTTTAGAGAGTTTTTCATTTTCATTGCTATTTACCAGCACAATTTTGTTATGAACGAAGCATTTCCCGAAGCTCATTATACTTTGACAGTTAAATTAACGGTATGTAAAATCTAAACCCATGTTTCGACTTCACTATTGGTAAATGAAATGCAAGTGAAAAGAAAAAGGAAAACGCTTCAGTTTGAGCGCAGTGTAATTTAAAGCTTTGGCCAGGAAAATTATTTCTTTATGATATATATTCTCTTTTCTCTTTGCTATTCTAAACAATTATTGCTTGTGGACCTCTGTCACAGATTGTGGGTTCCCTTTTTGTTTCCGTGATTCTGCTTCCATGATTCCATGTTTTATTTCGGTTCTAGATTCCGTGTTTTAGGGTTGCCGTAAAGAATCATTTATAATAAAATTCAATGCAATTTAATTCCCTCATATTTTTCGATTTATTCTATCAGCACCTATCCATTCAATGTTTGCACTCATTTGTTTAATCACTTCAGCTTGGAATCTGGCAAAAGGATTAAAAATGTTGCGGTACTTTATTTTCCAATGGTAACTACAGTAGACTTACAACTTGCATTGCATTCAAACTGTTGTGGAAATAATTCAGTTCATTCAGTAAACGTCAGTCTTTTATCATCTACATGTAAGAGTTGCTTTCAGTAAGAGTTGCATTTATGACCTTCCTAGAGAGCTTAGCGGGGACTCTTTATGTTGTTCATTCATTCTCCCCAGAAGATCGACATGGTTATGGTGTATGATGTTCAGCGATGATTGAGTTCTGAACAAGAACGTCTGCTGTTTAACACATGCTTAATTGATGAAGAAATTCGTAATTTCTTAATTGTCACAAATTGTAACCTACTCTACCCCAATCACTGTAATATATAGATTTAGCCAGGGCTAAAAGCGAGGCTCCCATTAATAAATTTATAATTTAAATCAAACAATAAACTTGTATTCCACAATTCAGTTAACTTTAGAGTACATTCGTGTGACTTTTCATGGACAGGCTAAGTGATTTTACAAAAAAATAATTTGCAAACAGCCCAAGAGTGAACCAAATCTCACATCGAGTTGATAGCCTCATAAGTACACCCAAAAACTGGTAATCATTTTCGATCACATTTATTAAGAGCCATAATGGCTCTTGATCACCGTAGATTAATTAGGCGTGGAAAAAAAATTCCGGCCGAATTTTTTGCGTTCGACAAGTTTATTTTACAAAATCTTGCCAACAAATCTGGGTGCGTGTAAACCAACCTTTTACATCATTTGTACATCACATCTGAGGTGAAACAGTACTATGAGGCACTGTTATTATCATACAGACCTCGGACAACAGAATGCAGTATTTCACAATATTGCGATACAAATTGCTATTCAAGACGATCGAAGCACGCGTGGGCTTTAGCCGTAAACCGTTGAAAAAATTTTCAAAATCATCTATACGGCCAGCCGGTTCTGATTTTTACAGTGCTAGCAGTGGTGACTGTTTGAACGAACATTTACAGAGTTACGAACCAACATAATAAAGAATTTATTATGTTTATTTTTTATTTTAAAACTGTTTAACGCGCGGCATTTTGAGTACTCCGGGAAGCATTGTTTACTGACCGACTGAAAACAATCGGCACAACGATTAAAATTACAAGAGAGAGTACTAACAATCAATAAAACAAATATAATTCGGTAAAACTTATACAGAGACGACAATTTTCATTCAGGAAGACAAGTATTAAAGTGTCTCTAAAAATCCTGAGTCTTCGAGCTTAAAGCTGAAGTTTATGTTTTAAGCCGGCTTCCCGGTGTTTGCTTTTTTCAAAGACGAACTCGAGGCAAGAAAATCGCTCAAACCTTTCTTTTACAGCCAGAATTATAACTAAATATTCTTTGAAACGTTTTCTTTCTATTTGCGGTGAGAAAATGTCTAAAGGCTTTTTAAAGATCTGTAAGCTTATTACAAACCTGATACTCGGTCAGATCATTGTCTCAAATCTTACAAAAGTGCGTAAACAAAATAGCCGCATCAACTACGCTCGACTTCATTAAATTAGGAATAAAAAACAAACATCAAATACAATAATTACTTAGGCTTACCACTCGAGATGCAGCTCCTGAAAGGTATCTAGTAACGCCAGTATCGCTTCAGATTTTGCAACCCTCTTACGCAGTAAGCACGATGAAAACGAAAACGATGCCATCCGAAATCGGATTTCCGACTTTGACTCAACCAAAAACCCAATAAACAAACTAGACATGAATAACAGAAGACTCCTGATAGCAGCTGAATTTCATTTTGTACATCCAGTGGAAAAAGAAAGTTAAAAACATCACAAGTTGGCACAAAACTCTGTCAGCCTCAGCTGTCAAAGTAAACAAGATTCAAGATGCTGCATAAATTTCCCGCATGAACTCACCTGTCAAATTTTGACCAATCAGAGCATAAAAATTGGACGTAGAGCGTGACCAACGCGTGAACATGGCGAGAAAAGTCAAAAGCAACTGTCTTCCCCGCCTGTAGCAGCTGGCTGAATTCCGAGGTCAGTTTGAAATCAAAATTTTAATTGTGCGGCACATAAACACAACATATTTCATATGAATTAAACTTGAGCCTGCGATCATTTGAAAACCAGTACCTTGTCAGCGGATAACTTCAAAAAAACACTTGACCTCGATGGGTCGACACCTGAGCCCGCGATACAGTCAAGTGATACTGGTCAGCGGATACCTTGTTTTGACAGCTGTCAATGGATCACAACATTGACGTGTATCAGTTTTCCTGTGCTCCGATCCCAAACTAGCTAGAAAGTATGAGACTGAACATTGATCGCGATCTAGTAAAATAATTAACTGGTCAGCGGACAGCTTCCAAATAAATCACGTCACCTCAATGAGTTGACACATGAGCCCGCGATATGGTCATGGGATACTGGTCAGTGGCTATCCTGTTTTGACAGCTGTCAATTGACCATATTGTGAATGTCCAATGTAAAAGATGTGGACTTGGCAAGACACGCCTGAGACACCCCTCCCTTCCTTTTGATAGTCTCCCCTACCCCACCCGTACAATCCGTAGACGCGTACGTACGTACGTACGCTCGGTCAATCACGTGACAACCAAAGGAAAAGAGGTTGACCATAATCTATGGGTATGGGGCTCTGTGCGCGAAGCACGCGTGGGAGCCCCGCTATAATATTCTGCCATTTTTGTTGAAAAACCCAGTGCCCCACAAATGTTTAGTCCTCGTCATAGTGACCGCGAATGAATAATTGATTGAAAACATTGAGTGGATATTGTCCGAGGTGTAACTACCAGTCCCCAGTATGCAAGTGCTACCTGATGTGTAGAAGATTGCAAAAATTAAACAAACACAAACTGAAAAAACCAAAAAACAAAAACTAACACAAAACAGTAAGGAGACAGAAGGCAAATAAGGAAACAGATGAAAACTGTGCAGTTGTCCGAATAACTTCGCTTCAACGTTTTTCAATCTCCCAAGTAAAACAGTTGTTATTAGAATGGAGTAGATAATGTGAAAACTTTTAAGTCCTTTTGTTATGTAAACAATCACAAAGTACTTTTGTCAGTGGATGGCATTCCATATAGATCTCTGGTTCATAGTCACCTGCCTGATCCTTTTAGGGACCTAAAAATATGTATGTTTTTTTCCCATCCTTTATCTGTTGTCTCCTCATTTTCCCCTTCTTTCTCCGCTTCTTTCTGTTTCTGGCTCCTGATGTCTCAGATGTCGATACTGGAAGTTTAATTTACTGCTTGGTGTTAAAGGAGGTGTTCTTGTAAGAGAATAGGTGGTCGCTCATAGTTTATCAAACGTATGACCAGATTCCAATGAAAAGAACCTATTTTGCAAATGATTGTAACCAAAACTCCCTTCTGACAACCAATAATCAACTAAAGAGGATCCCGACATCGAAGGATCTCGTCCACAAACTCATAAGGAACATCGCATTTCTTCATAGTTAACTCTGGGAGGGCCGTCTTAAAAATGGGGTCGTTAAATAGTGGAAACGTCACTAATCGTTCCTCTCTGGCAAAGCAGCTTATAACAAACTGTAACCTAAGAAATCGGTATTTTCCTTATGAAGACTCAGTAGGAAAATCGTGTTTGACGTTGTGAGGACGATAGACTCGGCCAGGATATTGGAGAAAAATACATCAAATATTCGTAAATGCTTCTGGACTTTATTTATTTATTTTTTTTTTTAACTGACAGAGATCATAGTTTAACAGCAAATCGTTGCTATACGCGCTTAATTACTTTTCCTCCCCTTACAAAACGTTTTTTTATTAGTCCGGTTGAACACATAAAAGGAGTTTACTGCAACTGTGGATTCGGCACTTCCTCAATGAAGATACGACTCATTGAATGCCAACCAGTAACAGTCTGCAAACTTGTCGCCTGTAACACACTTTCCAACCCAGAATCCCACTCGCACTGTTCCTTTCTTAATGTTATGACAGTGGCCTTCAATGTGTCTGTGACGTTGATTTCCTGCTGTTCCGGCGGCGTGTGCAAAGCTCCTAAATGATTAAAAAAAAATTAAAAAATTTTACAAAGTTAAAAGTCCCCTAGTGTTTGCGACAAAAAAGAAGATTTCAGGCTCGCTTTTCATGAAAGCGAACAAAATATTAAAAAGCAGGGAAATTGGAAGAAGTAAGTTACTATAGCTTCTTTTCATGGTCACTTTAACTTCCAATCGTCCCGAATACAAGTTGGGTTTTTATTACCAATCCTAAACTAAGACGCATCCATTTGTCTATATTTGTAATTTCATAACGTTGGGTTTCACTGACTTCAGCTTCAAAGAGCGATCGCAAAATTGCCTTTTTTTTCTGGTAAGGCCCTCTAACAAAGTAGATTTATTATTATATTTCTTTTACTACAGGAGAAGTATTTTGAGCCCATTTCGAGTAACGTCCTTAGTTTATTTCACGCTGTTTTCGGCGTAAGCTTCAAAAATCGTTGATCATGAAGTTGAATTATGTCGGGTTGATTTTTCCTAAATAACGATAATAACTTGTTGTATTATAAAATGGTCATGCGTGCAGGAAGTCTATACGTGTCAAAATGTACGCACAGAAGTTAAAGGTGGATCAGTGTCTCGGCCCGCACTACAGCTAAAATACTAGCTGTTTCTTTCAGTTCTAGCAAGAGACATTTTCTCGACAAATAAACCTATAAAGCAACAGTTTTGAAGTCAGTCAGTGTTGCATATATTTAGCTCAATGTATCCTCTCGAGCTTCCCGTTCCACTTTTGTATGTAATGGTAGCAAGGTTTTATTTGATTGCCGCGGGCCAAATACGGATCATCCTCAGGCACCATAGTTGGGAACAAGAATAGCCTTAAGATAGTTTTATGAAAGATATTCATTGTAATATTTAGAGACACTCGACACCGCGATGACGATTTTCTACTTGTCCCGACTTGTCCTCTTGGTTTACCGACAGTGTGCCATTTAGCTTAAGTCCTAAACCTTTACTATCCATGATCATATCTGGCAAACAAAAATTAATTCAAACTTTGAGTGGAGGATTATCGACTAGCTAAAGTAGTTTTGGTTGCTACAAATACATAAATGATGAGATGATTCCAAAGCATGGAATCGATCATTTAGATCAAATTGGGATTTGAGATTCTTTTTTCGCCTATTCAAAGACATAAGTAACTTTTCAGTGATCGTCATACAACTATACAATTAAAAGAACTATTCTTTTGAAGATTTGTACACCTTATAGAGTACTGTTGCTCCTTTTGCCATTGAAAAATCCTATAGATTGTGTTTTGGACATGACGTTGTTCAGTTCGCTTTCTCCGTTCTTATTATAAATTCACTGAGGAAAGTCGCCTGTACTTAGCTTCGAAGAAGTATTTTCTGATTAAACTTTGTTTGAATTAAACCTTGTGATTTCGAAAAAAACCTGTATTTAGCTGATAAATTTTGAGGTATATTTAAGCACAGCGAAAAATCTTTGTATTGTCTTCGATAAATTGTGGTCTGGCTTGAAGAGCTATTCACCTCAAGGCTTACCTTTACATGATAGTCCGAAATTTAGAGAAAATGTATGCAAAATTAGTTGAGCGCTATAGGCTCTGGGTAATTTGAAATTTTCATGGGCAGGGATACAGCAATTTTATGGTGTGGAAGCAATGGAGCTAGTTTCCAGCTGGATTTCAGTCCTCCTTAACGCGATAATTATACGTCAAATTGAATGCCACAATAACAACAGCACTTATCAAGGTCGAGAAAATTGAAATTATGCACATTGACATTAAAGATTGAAATTACGCATATTCTGTCAATTGTGAGTCTCACCAAATTTTATTTGTGTAATTATTTTATTAAAGGGTACAGGACAAAAGAAATGGTCGGAAGTAAGATTCATTTTCGATCTAATTTGAATAGCGGAAAGTAAGCGAAACACGGAGTAACTCATACTCATGTTCAGTCCGCAAGGCTCAACTTTTTTTTAATGTTTCAATTGGTGCGATTTCGTTTGCTAGTGTGTGTAGAAATGGATAAAGATGTATTAATTAATTCGTCAAAGTAACAAGAATTTCATTTTTCTTAAATTTCGAGCTTCCGCATTTTTATCGAAAACACTTTTTAAAATAACTGAGTGATTTCTTGTGCGCTGAGATATGAGATCGAGATATGTTCGATAAGAGTACAGACCATGGAAATGATGTGATTGTGGCGTAATTTGATTTTCTCTTTCTCCGCAGGCGATTTTCCGAGAACTTTCAGAGTCAGTTGTAAAAACAAATCGACAAATAATGGTTTTCCATGTACCGTACTCTTATCGACCCTAGAAATGAAGTCAAAATGTTCAAACTAAACTTTGCAGTGAAACTTGTTTGAGTTTTTGACGTCATTTCTATGGTCGATACGAGTACAGACCATGGAAAATTGTTGTCGACTTGTTAATTTTAAGGACCTCTTTTCGATATCAATTGTCATATAATCAACTCCCACTGAGATTTGTTTTTTTGCCTACCAAGGAAGTATAAACATTAAATACGTTACTGATGCGACTCATCAGAAGAAAAATGGAGGGACCAAGGTCGATATATAAACTACTTGATTATATTTTATATTTCTGGACTTTATTATTTAAATGACACCGAACGGATGAAAAACCTTGGATTTTAGTTTACTTGTTTTTACTTAATTTTTAAGATCCCGTTTTAAAAGTCCACTTGATCTCATGGCAAGAGCCTACTGCTGAGCTGGTGGTACTTCCTCGATGAAGATACGATTCATTGCATTATGCCACCCGGTGAAGGCGTCCCCGAGCTTATATCCACCGCGTTTACAGTTTCCAACCCAAAATCCCACTCGCACCGATCCTCTTTGAATGTTTTTACAATGACCTTCGATATGACGATGATTGTGGAAATTGTGGTTAACATTGTTTGGTGTTCCAATGTAGAATACGCCATCAATGGACCCAGGAGAGTTGCACTCGGCGCCATTGAAGGTGAAATACCAGCGACTACAGCAGGCGGTACAGTCATATATCTTGAGGTTGCCAGCAAAGTAGACATGGAGTGCAGAGTTTGCGCTCTTTTTTACAAAGTCACAGCTCTGCATTGAATATGAAAAAAAAAGAAGAAGAAAGAAACAACGATTTCACATAAAAATTGAATTTATCTTAGGCAAAGCAACAGTTTAACTTCAATGATACCGATTTACACCACCCTATTTGTTGATGTCCTTTTTTTCAAATTAATACAAGGATTTTTTTCCTCAAACAGACAAGGAAAAAACCAGGCGGAGTTGTTCACTTACGTATATCTGCCCTGAATCTGTGTTGTGGTGACTTGTCCAGGTACACTCCTTCCAGTTCTTGTGTGAAGCAGTTCCACTGTCGCCTTTGTCCCCTCGCTGTCCTTTCTGTCCGGTTGAACCTTGGATCCCAGGGTCTCCCTTTGTTCCTTTCTTTCCATCAGCACCACGTGGTCCCTGGGTCCCAGTCTTCCCCGGGCTGCCCAGGTCTCCTTTGGCTCCATCACGACCAGGTGCCCCTGGGGCTCCTGGGACGCATGTCATGTATGTCCACATCCCGGTTTGTCCGCCATTATTACAAGATGGACAAGATGGAATAGACTGCCAAAAAGAAAAAAAATCAATAACAAACAGTTTGTAGCTCTTAAAAAGTCTGCCATCGAGCAGATTTACTAGATTTTCGTTAAATGTTAAATTTTAGATTTGGGTTCCTTTGATGAAATCGTAAATTGTACGTGATTAAAGAAATTCAGTCATGTTTCAGTGCAAAAGCCATAAACTATGATCTTCCTCGTTAGTAATAATGTTACTTTTGATTGTTTTAAACGTGAAAATGTTCTCTCTCTTCTCAAAATATCGATCCGCCTTTGCTGTGAAGTAATCATTAAGATACCACCTTAATTTTTGTTGTTTCGCTGTAATAAAAAATTTCGCTGGCCATGAGTATAAATACAGTTACCTTGGTGTCTGATGATTTGTTGTCCTTAGCAGAGCACAAAGAGGTCATGAGCAATAAAATCGGTACAAACAACATAATGGTCACTATAACTCGTGATCGCAACATCAAGGTCCTCTAACTTGTGTACTGAAATTAAAGTTTTTTCATGATATGAATTATTTTAACAGTTTAAACGTAAACCCAATACATATAATGAACACTATATTTCATATTTCAGGATATGCCTTGAAAAAATGAACGTCTTAAATGTTATGGAAACTCGTGGACCTTTTATATTTTTAGAATAAAAACGATTTTTTTCCTGTCAAATTTTAAGGTAGTTTAACGTTATTTCAGCGTATTTGAAGTTAACTTACCTTCGGTTCACGATTTCCAAAGCCAAATGATAGTAATGGTTATCGTGACCGGTTAATTTATCTCTCTTGCAATAATTACGTAACTTTAAAGGAAGTTTTAACGAAGTCATGCCCTGATCATTACATCTCAACTGTAAATGACGTCGAAAATTTTGATTTGTTCTTTTGGCTTAACATGAGGAAATTCGTGTCTTGTGCTTTTCAGTCACTGAGTTCCTGTGCAGATCATGCTTTTGTTCCATGTCAAGGTCTACGAGCCACAACATCATTTATTAATGATGTATTTATTATGATTTTACGTGTAGGATCTATCCCTTAGCGCCACTGTATAGCTAAATTATGTCCTTTGACCGCCGGGCAATCTTTTGTTCGGCAGTGTTTTAGCTTTACGAGGATGACTGTCAGCACATCACCTTATTCAGTGTGCAGTGGGAAAATAGTAAACCGAGGACAGTTTGCAAGACAGATCAGAAACCTACGGCGAATACAGTTCGCAATACAAGAAGAACAACTTTATGCTGAATGCGGGGCAAGATTAAAGAACTTCTATTTATCAAAGTTATTGTGTCTTTGATTACTCTGTTTCTTGCAATAAAGCTTTGGGCAAGAATACCCTTGCAGATAGGAGATAGTCAGTCAGCACTCTACCTCCATTTGTGCGTCACCTTTCAAAAATGTATTTTAGCGTTGCATTGTAAGGTTAAATTTGACCAGCATTTTTTGTAGCGCGTTCTACGGTCACGATTGACTTCAAACTTGCAGCTGTAATAAAACTAGAGGGCTTTGAGGCTTATTTGCTGAAATTAGAGAAAAATCTGTCGTAGAGTTTCCAAGTTATTGACATTCTTTGTAAAAATGCGGTTTTAAACATATGCCATGAACTCGAACCGTTCTTTCCGCGACTGATTTAATACTTGTTAGGAAAAAATAAATAACATTTTCCAAAAGTTGAACTATTGTTTATTAAGGATGCCAAAAATCATGGAAATCGGTTAAATCATACCTGCCGAAAAACGCGATTCAAGAACATAACAAACGCGCATATAAATAGGATGGGGCCACTCCACTAGCGAGTTAATCACAGCGTATCCTCGTTTAAACGTTTCTTGTCGAAACATGCTCACGAGAGAGCCTACGTGTGTATTAATATCAACTTCGCTTACGGAAATATCTTAGGTTGCTAAGTAATCGATTCGCCCAGTGAACGGCCTCTTTGATATAATTATGTAATTTTTAATAAACGAGCAGCAGTATTTTATGATTTTAGACCCGATAATACACGTGCTATCGAGTTTATTAAAAGAATTTAAAGACATTCCTGGCTGTAACCAATGTTACCGCTGCGTCACTGAACTTTTGGCTGATTATAAATTGGTGAAAGAACATGGTCTAATTTTGTGAAATAGTAAATTTACTTATATGAAAGATCATCGCAGTTGTAAAAGCAACTTTTGCAGCTGCGAAAAAAAGCCTTGACCTCTACGATACCGGTGCAGCGCTCTACCTACTGAGCTTACAAGCCAACTGGGAGCAGGTCGTTAAATTGGTTCGTTATAAACTCGTAAAGGATGATGATGAAGTTGTGATTGAATATATGAAAATCATATTAATGAGGAACTGCGGGGTGAAAAATTATATGAAAGAAGATCATCCAGTTACAGACGCAACTTTTTGCAGTTGCAAAAAGAAAGCCTGAAAAAATGCAGGTTTGTACGGGATTCGAACCCTTGACCTTTTACTGCGTGTTCTATTTTGATTTATAACATAACAAAAGTAAAGCGCACGCTCTGATTGATCAGTTAGCCACCAACCATTTGCCCATCGGCACACGCCAACGAAAAGCTAGCAAGGTAAAATTGAGGCAAATTAAGAAAATCTCCGTTCTTACAAGGTGAAAAATGCACCGGTAAAATATACAGATGAAAAGAAGAACTTAGTTGTCGCTTTTAGAGAAAGTACAAAGATCAAGCGAAAAATTTACCTAAAAGGACTTTATCGTTGAGAACAACCAAGTGAGTGAATTTTTAGCCCGAGTGAGCGAGATTTTAGAGCGGCATTAAAGGGACTTTTTGGACTTTATAGTAGAGAAAATTACGTTTTAGAATGGGAATGCATCAACTAGCATTGGTATACAATGGTATATTACCCCAATAAACAATTGGAACCGCATTTCCTGAGGAAGTGGCACCGCAGCCTACAGTTGTAGCTGTTATGGCAAGAAAATGTCAAAAGTTTCACAGCTATCCAAACAAAATGGCCAAATTACTAACTTAAACTGATTGGGAAAAAATGCAAAATGTGTGGTGAATGTTGTCACCTTTTTGGTTTTTTTTTATTATATTTTTTTTATAAACATATATATTGCAACATTTGCTCTAAGAGCCTAAAGGGCTCATCTAGAGAGCTTACGCTGTTTACATTTTAATATTTTTAAAATACAAAAGCACGTCAAGATCGAACACACACACATAAAAAAGCGAAAGAATGAAAAGAAAAAACTCAAAAAAATGTATTAAAAAAAACACACAGCAACTAACAGAAGCGATTTGATAGCGAAATAAACGACTGGACAAACTGAAACAACCTAACGTTAATTTGAAAATCAGCTGTAGAAATACGTTTTAAAAGCCAATAGATTTTTTTTTGTTATCTGAGGCACAATACCATCTACTTCCAAGTAATTGTACAGCGGAGGTTAACAACTTTTCACGCAGAGCAGCAAAACTTGGGCAGTATAGGAAATAATGTTTCGCGTCTTCAATAGATGCATCACAAAGAGCACAGGCAGGTGAAGGGCAGCAATTTTTCTGACGCTGAACTATCCCCGATAGTTGCGGAATGGAAAATGCAGGAATTTTAAAAGGTTGCGCTTGAAGATACCTGGAGAAGACGATACGCGTGTCTCTAATGGAAGACTGTTCCAATTGATTTAGTCTTAGTTTCATTCACAGTCACCAACCACCATTTAACCCAATCAGATATTGATGTCTACCTGTATCGCAGCGGTCAGTGATCGAATACCAGCCAGCCTGGATAAGTCACTGCATAAGTTGCGTCTTAAAACTAGGATGATCTTCTTCACAATTTAATCCTTAATAAAGTCACTCAGGATACCCAAATCATGTGCGCCGCCTAATACGAAAACCCCAAAATATTGGGACCATAATTCTCCCCCCTCCCCCCTTCTTCGACCATTCACACAAACCTCTGGGGGATAGTGGTGAAAGCTAAAAGTTCCAGAGCTGAGATGAATATATTGCAACTGTCAAAACCTTATGTACGTATCATCTTTGCACAAGCGTTAGGATCGATGGTATTTCAGGGGGTAAACCAATGGTAAAATTTCTTAGTGCAAGTAATTGCGCTAGAGTTTGTTAATTCTCTCAAAACGAGACCACTATTTTAGTTCGAGTTTCGACAAGTTTTACGTCATTGTTGTTTGCTGTGAGAACATCTACGTTCGCTTCTGCATCAAGGAAAGAAACAAAGATCTCGTCGCCATTATCGTCTTTAAGGTAAAACGTTGTACCACTTGTTTGCTTGTTTGTTTGAGACCACGTGACATTTATTTTTTAATTAAGCGCATGCAAAGATGGCGGGTATCGAGAATAAGGTCTTACGCACAGTCACATGCGCTCATACAAATAGGAACTTACGTACATTCTTTGTCACTACCACTACAGCTGAGGGTTTAGTTCCACCGAATGAAAATTCATCAACCGTTGTAATTTGACTTTTTTCAGCGAATCAGCACAGCCAGTGGAGGTGGTAAACATTATTGTTATCCACATTTCACATGCGCGGTAGACACGGAGAATATTCAACGGGTGTTTAACGACTGCCGAGACATAATCCAGGGAATGCATTTGCGCCAGTATGAACTTCTGTGATGGCTTCCCTCTTCTCCCTCCCCAACTTTTCATCGAGCCTTCAGCCCTTTCTCAGGCTGCTTGCGGATAGGCGGCACATAACATTCGGCTGTTTTTATTCCAATACGGGACGGGGGAAACCATAAGGCATCCGCCTCACTGTCTACTCCAAACATACCAGCGAGAAATTTTGTCAGATACCAGCCCTTTTAAGTAGTGTACAAAATCATGCAGGATGCGTAGCCTTTAGTTTTCTGTGGTTTGTCACAGGACTTTGTGAGTAAGCTGTGATGTACTGGGCCGAGAGACGGAGAAATTTGTTGGGGTGGGGGACGGGGGATTATACGCGTGGTCGTCGTCACATTGCGCTGTTTGGTTCTCTTCTTCTGTGAAATTAAACACTTTATTCTAGAAGTCGAATTTCTTATAAAGAGTTCCGCTGGTAACTCGAGCACTAAAATTTATTACTTCTTGAGAAAATCAAGTGTGCAGGCAAAGAAAACTTGTTCTAAAGGTATTTTCTATCGGATTTTAGTGGGAGAGATGTTTTGTTTTCTTAAGTACCGAGAACTGAGCTATTTGTAAGATCCGCTTATGGTGCCCAGTCGATAAAGTTAAATTAAAGTTAAAGTTAATTTAATTTAATTTAATTAATTTAAGTTAATTTAGTTGATAAAGTTAATTTAAAGGTACCCGAAAATACGTAGTTATTTGTTTAAGTGAAGTTCTAGAATGAAAGCAAGAAAGACGGCTTTTGTGTTGTCTTAAAATGAATTCAACGATACATTCTCGCCGAAAACTAATTAACAACAATTTTTCTTTGTTTGCAAACACTCCATATATCTCTATAAAATCTGAATATTGTCCTTTTGAAGTGTGAATAAGTACATATAATAATTTAGATTTATATTATGAACATGGAAAGGCTTTTTAACTCACCCTTAGAAGAAGGATACGTTAGTATAGATGGTCTGAATTATAACGTCACTGTTGATGTAATATTTGCCCCCCTCCACTGTCGGACTCCCTGTTCCAAGTTTGGTTGATTGCAAAAACTATTCTGTTGCTTCTGATTGCGAAGGAAGAAGCAAGGGAAGAAACTTCAAAACAAAAAGAAGAGTTATAAAGACCTGGGAGTTTTTTAAAAAGGAACCTGTCTTTATCGCACTGCTGTACAGTAAACGTGTCCCTGTTTGTTGTTTATGTTTGTGCTCGTGAAAGTGTAAGTAGAGTATACGTATGTAGTTAATAATGCAGATTTAAGTAGACAACAGAGAAACTTTGTCTCTTTTCCCCTTCTAATCATTGTGTTCTCTCCCCCCACCAAACCAGACTTGTTTTGTTCAGAAATTAGCTTGCACAGAAGAAAGCACTGCAAACTTAAACATATTGTATATTGACGCGAAAAAAAAGAAGAACAACGGATCTTAATTTCCGTGGCATGCTAGATTTCGTGCCATGTCCCTTGGAATGTTAGTTTGTTTAGAACGGCTTTCAGTGATATGTCGAAAAATAATCTCCAGAATATCCTTTCTGCACTCAACTCCTTGTGGTTAAAATATATCGTGTCAATTTCTCTTCCCGCCTTTTGGCAACCTTCCGTCCAGTCTTTTGTGATTGGCTAGAGAGGGTTGTACGTCACTTCAGTGAATACCGTTCTAACAATGTATGCATGATCAAGACTGCTGTAGTAGATCTTGTGTCTGTTCCAAAATGTGGAAAGCAGACTGCCAAATATACTTTCAGAAGTATGCCCCAAGCCCTTCCCCAGTTAGTGATTACAACACTTGATATCAGAGTAACTATGTAGAGCTTTAAGCCGGAGCTGTCATATTAAGTTTTATGTCAAAATAAACTATTACTCAATAGTTCGTGTACAGTCACAAACTGTGTTGTTCTTGTGCCCCTCGTTTCTGGCGATTAAATCGACCGTCGCTGAAGAAAACCGTGGAAAAGCAACGAGGCCCCTCTTCCCGCTCCCCAGAGTAACGTGGGAACGAGATTGATTTATGTACGCAAATGTATATCATGACGGCACGGTACGCTGAACTAGCTTGGTGTGTGGCGCGCGAGGTATTGTGTCAGCCTCGCCACGTCAACTTGTGTCCTCATATTTACCTGTAACCTTTGGTTTGTTCTTTCAGCATATGCCTGGCTGACCGACACGCCCATGCCTCTAATGTTGTTGTTTTATGTGTTCTATTGTGTGGTGGAGGCAAACTCCTCCGTTTTGCCTAAGGGTAGTGACACAAAGATTAAGTACAGCTTGAATCTCGGATAGATCTTTCCCGCATTTTGCTCCACGGAGCACACACAGGGATCTTGAGCAACAACGACGACTACGGCAGTAAAAACATCACTAAAAAAAGGAATTTGCGTCCTTTCAAACTTTATCGCGTCTATTTGAAACCGCACAATTCGTCAAATGTAGGCGAGTTTTCGTGGAGTTGAATTCTTAACGACTTTATCCATGTTCAAATAGAGAAAGGACAATTTGTCGTCGTATGTCCACGCCCTTCACAATACGTTGTGTTGGGAGGTTTCACGTCGTAGTCGTGCAGTGGACGTCAAAGAAATGTACTAAGAAGCGTGATGCACGTGCAGAGCAGTTGTTTTGCTCATAAAACCAATTGTTTTTTGACGTTGTCGTTGTCGTCGTGGTAGTTGCTTAAACTCCCTTATGACACAAGGTCGACGGAGGCTTGGGTGGACAATTTCATGCACATCCCTGTATTTTGCCCACCCTAGCCTCGAGTTGGTGCCCTTGGTGGTGTTTGAATCTCGTTTGAGAGGGTCAAACTTGAGTGAACTAATCACCATATGACTGTATTATTTTGTATACAAGAACACATATGCAACAAGACAGCAAGGGCTGGCTGTGAATCCTTTGCTGTTCGGTCATAATTTGGCAGTTGTCAGTGCCGCTGAACGAAATAAAACGTCAAGAACGTGTACTTAGGTGATTTTAGTACGAAGAGCTTAAGAAACTACCTATACTACCAAGCGGTGTCATTTGGCTTTTCGACGTCGTCAATAAGCGATTTCCGAGTTGCCCAACGTTCAAAGCGAGGCTAAGTGCGAAGCCATTGATGTGAAAATTCCTTTTTTCTCTCATGCAAATATACTAATTATCACAAGAAAGTATTTGCACTTAGCGTTGTAAAAGTGAGAGATTTTGAAACTTGGAAATTAGCCTATTGAAATAGCTCCAAACGAAGAATGTGCAAACGACGGAGTACGTGGGTCCATTCTCCTACGAGGATGAATTGACAACAAGTGACGGATGACTTTTGGGCTCCGAAAAGCTCATCCGGATTAAACTGCAGATACCGTTTTAAGTTTTAAGCGCTGGCTATCAACATGTACTGTTTTGTAAATATCGTAAGCGAGTTAGTTATTCGAGTGAACCTTTGAAACATGCCGTAATTGAAAAAGGAATTTTTTAAAATCAAATTTTCTGGGCTCAAAACGCTGCCAACATGCATCCCACATTTGATTGCAGCATAGTCCCAGGTCAGCCTCCTCCTCAGGCGCTTCGTTTTTCGCAAGGTAGAGGCGAGCGACTGGTGATGAGCCGCAAGGGACCATGGGAAGGGTACAGACGACAGGCGAAGCGCCGTCTCGCCCATTGTCTCCTTCCCTCCTTCCTTTGCGCGCACATTTTCATCGAGAGAGAGAGACAGACGTCTGGGTTCGAGGCAAGTCCCAAGTCATTTTTATAAGTGACCAAATGACGGACACCTAACAGCTAAAATCGAGCACACCACAAGGGCCGTCAGCACTTGCTTCGTCCCTAGGCCATCGGCCAACCAACGACTGTTTTCTGTGAAATATCTGTTCGGAGAAGCAAATATTGCCTAGAATTTTCTATTAATTGAGGTAAGCTTATCTAATAAATTACTTCGATCTTCTGAAGTTTAATTTTCACGTTTCATTTCCCAAGTTAGGCTATTTTTTTTGGTAGAGAAAGGAAACCTAAAATTTTTGGTCTCAAAAATGCAATGGAAAGAGAAATCCTGGAAATCAGAAACAGTGTCTCAGTTTAGTAATACTTGAAATTGCACCTAAAATTTTTGGAAAAATAATGCTGAAACCCTTGTAATTTCGAAAAGACTGAAGTTCCCCTAGGATAACCGAACAGAAACAAATGTTAAAGCGCCGCTTAGAATGCATTTCTGAACATCTAAACGTAATCTGGGAAGCCTAAATAGTGCTAACAATGTATTTAGAAGGAAACCGTCGTTGGGCGCAACCTATGCTTTTCGAGTCAAGTACGAGCGAGAAGGCATGGTGGACAAGGAGGAAACGCCAGCACTATACGACCGCTTGTGAACTGAACTTAAGTTTAATCATTTCCTATGTGAGTACCTTAAGTTCGTTATTTTGAAAGTACCAAATTTATATGAAATGCGGATTGACGATGGAAGCCGTTTATTTGCCCGTCCATGAGGGCTAAAACACTGGTTTGTCCCTACTCTGGTTTGCCTCTTTTTTCTATTTTTGAATCCCCAATAATACACTCTGTTTGCCCCTCTCCCCACCCCCTTCCCAAATGAGAGGATTGCATATTCCATTTCCTTAGAGCATGTGAAAACAATAACTATTAGGCCAAATTTGGGGGACAAACAGAGTGTATTATGGGTTATTCGAAAATAGTCAATGGTTTCTTTGCTAGCAAAGTTCCCGCTCACGGCGAGAGATAAATGATAGGAATTATTTTAAGTTCCCTTGACTAGCAGGGTGCGGGGCGGGATAACAAATTCTCTTTTCCCTTCCCCCCGCCCCCTACCCACCCACGGGAACTATAATTATTTCCATGACGACCGACATGGGTTAATTTATGGGCAAGGTTTGAAGAGCGTGACTCGGGTTCACCGAGGACTTCCTTGAGGTCCTTGAGTACTTTGGCCACACCACTAGTAGCATTGTTTCTATAAACTGAAAAAAGGAAGGAATTGCTCTTTGGGAGGCTGAGAAAAATCACATGAAATTAACTGTTCTGGTGCGACGCAATAGGGAAAAATGCATGAGGTAAGCATGTCATTGAAAGAACAAAAGCAGGTGAAAGCTGTGGAAAGTAGACAAAGCGGTGGCACGAGACAGAAAGTTTTGGTCAGGCAGCGTGGAGGCCTTGTGCGCCTACTGGCGCGACAAAACTGCTAAGATGATGAAGTATGCCACTTCCCTTATTTTTCAATTAATGATTGTTTGTTATTAATTTTTGGCGAATCTAACAAATAGGTAAAAATATTAAAGTGTCAATGCTTAATCTCCTGGACTTCTTTATTCTTTACAGTACTACTAGTAATACAGATTTAATAGTAATTTTCAAAGTCCAGATGATCACATGACTCGAGCTTACTGCTGAGCTTTCGGTACTTCTTCAATGAAGATACGATTCGTCGAGTGCCAACCAGTGTGGGCGTGAGCAAGCTTTTCGCCTGTGACGCACTTTCCAACCGAGAATCCCACTCGCACCTTTCCTTTCTGAATGTTATTGCAGTGACCTTCAATGTGGCGGTGACGGAGACGATTGTGGTTTCTGCCTGTTCGCACGTGGAATGCACCGTCAATAGTTCCAGGAGAGCTGCACTCGGCTCCATTGAAGCTGAAATACCAGCGACTACAGCAGCGGTCACATCGGTAAATCCCGAGGTTACCAGCATAGTAGACATGGAGGGCAGTGCCCGGGTATTTCTTCACAAAGTCACAGTTCTGAACGAGATATAAAGAATCAGCATCCGTATTGTATTGTATTTTTATTTACTCCATTCTATAAAAGATGTTACATCAGTTGCACATATCTAGACTAATTTAATAATGCAAGGTGTTTTGACAAAAAAGAAACATACATGTACACAAGGATAGCAAAGAAATTAAGATTAGAGAAGGGCACAGTATAGTAAAACTAAAAATGGCCTTTTAACACAATACTATATAGCTTCAAAAGACGCGGCCATCATCATCGCTGACCGCTGACCAAAGCATTTTGGCAATCAATCGTTTTACTGAAATTACTTGCTTTGAGCTTATAGAATATTACAAAGTGACGTTCCGCACTTACATATATCAATCCTGAATCTGTGCCGTATTCCTTTTTCCAAGCGCACTCCTTCCAGTTCATGTGTGAAGCCAGTCGTTGCGTTCCACTGTCGCCTTTGTCCCCTCGCTCTCCTTTTCTTCCGGCGGAACCCTGGATCCCAGGCTCTCCCTTTGCTCCTTTTTTTCCATCAGCACCACGTGCTCCCTGGGTGCCAGTTTTCCCCGGGCTGCCCAGTTCTCCTTTGGCTCCATCTCGACCAGGTGCCCCAGGGGCTCCTGGGATACATGTCATGTATGTCCACATCCCGGTTTGTCCACCTTTATTACAAGATGGACAAGATTGAACAGGCTGCCAGAAATAGAAAAAGTCAATGACAAACTGCTACTGTAGAAGCTCTTGACAATTTTACCTGTCATCTAGCGTTTCAATCCAGGCCAGGGAGTAGTTCCTTAATTTTTCCAAGTTTTATTTGGGGTTTTTTAATGTAATCGCCAATTGTGATTTTGTAAAAAAATATATATTTTCCAGTAAAGAAGCTTTTTTTGTAAAAATGTTAATTTTGATTGTTTAAAACGTGAAAATGTCCACTCTCTTCTTAAAATAGTGATCGAGGTTGAACAAGTAATCATACCATCTTAATTTTTTGTTTGAATTTTGTAATACTGATTTAGTTAAATTAACATATAACATACGTCATTCCTATAGTTTTCTCTATAAACTAACGTTATTTAACTGTAATAAAAAAGTGTGTAGTGGCAATATCTGACATATAGTTACCTTGGTGTCTGGTGGTTTGTTGTCCTTAGCAGAGCAGAAACCAGCCGTGAGCGAAAAAATCAGTACAAACAACATGATGTTCTCTTTAACTCGTGATCGCATCACGCCTAACTTGTGCACTAGAACTGAAGTTTAATCATGATATGAAATATCTTGAGTAGGTCAAACGAAAACCCAACGAACGTGATTAACACGTAGCAATTATTGAATGTGGCTGGGTAAGATCTGAAGAATTATGCAGATCGAGGCTGAAGACTTTAATCTCGATGACTGTTACAGAGTCTTTTGAAGTTAACTTACCTTCGTTTTACGATGGCCAAAGCCAAATGATAGCAATGATTATCTTTAACGGTTAATTTATTTCCTCTCTTGCAATAATTACTCACCTTTTCATGTTTTTAAAACAAGTTTCAACGAAATTCGATTCCCTAATCATTACATCTCACGTCTAAAAGACGTCGAGCATTTTGATTGGTTCTTTTGGCTTAACATGAGAAATTCGTGTTTTGTGTTTTTCAGGAACTGAGCTCTTGTGCATTCAAATCATGGTTTTGTTCCATGGTCGAAAATCTATCAGCCACAACATCATTTAGTACATTTATTAAACTTTTATTACGTGTAAGATCTATCGCTTGGTATATAGCTCAATTTTGTCCTTTAACGGTCGGACAATCTTCTGTACCGGTCTTGCAGCTTCACGAGGATGCATGGCCGTCAGCTCATCACCTTTTTGGGCAGTGGGAAAGAAATTAAACCGCGGTGACAGGTTACAAGACTGAGTCTAAGCATAATCTGTCGTTGTTTAGATTGGGATTTTTTTTTATACTATATTACTGTAAACCCAAGCGAAGTACAATTAGAAGTTGCTGAAAAAGAAGAGAAAAAGAAATTACAATTTAAGTTCTTCTGTCGTTCATTTCTGTATCCAGAATAAAGCACATAATTTATCCACAACCAAATTTGAAAATTTCTCTTTGCGGAGGTTAACACAGCAGTATATCCAATTAAGCAATGTTGCAATCATTCTGAACTATATCAGAATTGTTCGATACAGACACTTAACATGAATCATGTTTTATAGTATCATTGGACTCTGAAAATCCTTTTTTTTTGTCCACGGTAAGTGATTCTTAAATACTGCTTATTAATAGGTTGATCAATGCGCCCAACGAAAGGACTCTTGGCATAATTTTTGAACTACCGTACACACTTCTTTCTTTCAACATTCTTGTAACCAACAGATCACAACTTTCACGAGAGAAATAAACTTATGTTGTTCGCAGATTTTTTTTAATCCAAGTGCGATTATTCATATACAACCCAGGGTATAACTGTACAATTGAAAGAAAAGTTGCAGTCTGAGATATCGCGAGATGATATCTCTCTTATAGAAATTATTTCCCTAAACTGACCTCGAATTGAAAGAGTAGTACATTAATTGTTATCCTCATTTTCCGTCCTAGTGGCCATTGTCCATTCTGATCTATTCTAATTCCATCCAGTAAATAATCTTAGTGGAACCAGTTAACTTACGTGATCTTATACAGTCTTTCGATAATTCACCATTTGTGGCGTGTAGCACAGGCTCATGCTTCCGGCTTGTTCATGGTCAAGAATTTGCTTGAATTGTTTATTTCTTCAGACGCACTAAATAATATAGCTTTCCTCTCAAAAAACAAACAGTTTCTGTCTTTTCAAAATCCTCAACTCAAGAATTCTGTCAGTTTTTGCTTGTTTTAATGGACGACTGTATGGTCAGTTAAGAAACAAATGCGGCTTTTTTAGTACGAAGAGTGTGATCTAAACAGGGGCATCCAACGAGTGTTTTCTTTAAAATATCTGTTTGGAGAAGCAAATATTGCCTAGACTTTTGTATAACTTGAGGACGGCTAAAAATTTTATTCATGCACAATTTTGAAAAGCTTATCTAATAAATTGCCTACGGATTTCATTTTTCAGATTTCACTTCCTAGGTTAGGCTATTTTTCGTCGAAAAAAATCAACCTAAAATTTTCGGATTGAAAAATATGATGGAGATCGAAATCAGAAAAACTCCATTTTTGTAATTTGTTAAATTGCCTCTAAAATTTTCGGGAAAATAATACTGAAGCCCTTGTAATTTCAAAAAGGCTTAAGTTCCCCCACGACGATGAGCGAACAGATACACAAATTTTCATAGCCCCGGCCCCGCTTATAATGCAGACTACTCTGGATAACCTTAAAAGTGTTCAGTTTCAATGTAGTTATAAGGAGGAAACCGTCATTGGGTGCCAATATATTAAGAACCATTTTATTTGCGGAACATATAAATTTATTAAGTTTCCTTTGTAAGTAAGCGACAAAGGATTTTGAAAAGTAGAGTTTGGTTTTGTAGCTCGATAAATTAACAAGCTTGTCGAGCTGTAAAAATAAATAAAGCTTGGTATCAAATCCCTGTGTTACTCCACACTTCACTTGCTTTTGATTACAGAGCTTACATGTGTGACTGTGTTGAACACAATTTTTTATTATTATTTTATTCGCCGTTTAATAATCAGTAGTTGTAGATATCATTTTTCTTTAAATTGACTATTAACGCCTGATTAACGATACTGTTGGTTCTGTTGGTCGGCAGAGTTTATTATCCTATTAAGACTCACGTTCGCTCTGGCTCGATACGGCGGCGGTAATTCTCTACTTGGCCTGCTGACTAGTAGTCCTTGATGTTTGCAAAGTGTTTCATTTAGCCTAGCTCGTAAACCTCTTCTGTCCATGGTCATACATGTATCTATAGCAAACAAAATTTGTGGAAAGGATTATCCATTAGCTAGAATAGATATACATGCTTCCTATACATGCAAGATGAGATGATTCTAAAGAAGGGAATTCGAAGCGATCATAGATCATATTTGAGTTTGGGATTTCTTTTTCGCCTATTCACTGTTATTTAATAAATAGTGAAAAGTCTCAATTTCATGGAACTTTTCTTCGATCCTCCAAAAATCGAGATTCGCTTAAAACAACTACTGACTGCAAGAAAACATGTTCTCTTGCCATACTGTTAGCAGAATCTCTCTTCGGAAGAGTTTTCCACTGGATGTATAGTACTGTTTGAATAAAAGCGTTCACTTTTGGATTTGGGAAATGACTTCATTCAGTTGCCTATTTATTGTTCTTCTTATTGAATCAACTGTATGAGTTAGCTTTGTAATAATATTTCACTCTTGTTTGATATTAAACCTTACTATTTTTTCTACACCTAATCAATTTTGAGAGCTTTAACACAATGAAATATCTCTGTATTTTCTTCGAGAAATTGTGCCCTAATTTGAAGAGCTCTTCATTGAAAGCTTACGCATAAGAGACTGAAATTTTGGCAAAATTTTAACAAGTTTACGTTTTGGCGCATTAGCTAGGTCGCCAATTAGGCTTGGGATTTTTAAACTTCTAGTGCAGAAGCTATGCTTTGAAATTGTGTAGCCTAAAAAAATAATGAGTTTGAAAATTGGTAGGTAAATTCAATCTAACAAGAAAGTACTGAAATATCTAGAAAATTTCATCAATGTATACTGATTCTGCTGATTTAGAGCTGTGAAAACATTTTGCAGTTCACCCAAATGGTAAGTAAATAAAATGATAATTTGAATTTTGATCTACGCTACTTTGTTGAATAAAATTAGAACGGCAATGATGATAAAGGTATCAGTTTTGTCAAAAAAATGTTCTTACCGGTAAAATTGATGTCAGTCGTCTTTTTGACGGTCTTAACCGCAATATTCCATAGAAAATAATTATTTGATTCATCAAAAATTTTCAGCGGAGTTTCCTTAATTTGTTCTTGTTTTGTCCAGTTTCCCTTGATTAATGTTCGATATCTTAAAACGGCTATTGTTAGCTTTTAATATAGCTCATCAATGACACTTTTGTAAATGAAGCTCATCCTCTTAACAAACAGAAATGTCACTTTTCTTTGTCTTTCTTGGGTTCACTCAAATTCACTAGACAGTAATTAAAAGCTTTTGTTCGCAGATCTAAAATTTGAATTGTTTAATATCATCAATCCTACGCTGTTTTAGTATCATCAGTTACTTCTGGTATCTGCTCTGTTTATGAATCATGTTTAGTTGACACATGGTTATGGAAACCAGTCGTTACTTAGTTAAAAAACTGAACGAGTCAGTCAAACGGCCTTTGAGTGTCTTGAAAGTTTCACATATATCGAGGGGTTTTTATTACCAATGCTAAACTTAAACGCTTTCAATTGTCCTTATTTCATACATTTCTGTTATTGACTGACTTTAGCTTCAAAAATCAATCACCAAGTTCAATTTTCAGGTTAATTGTTAAGACTCTTTATTTTTCTGTCAGTACGAGGCGGAACGAGTCTTTCAGTAGAGGCCATTCTGATTTTCAAACTTCGAAACTTGTCCTTTATTTCGGCTTTATTTGATTCTTGACAAATTTCCGTCTTTAAGCTCCACAGATCCGTCCCTGGTCGTCAAATGGAATTATTTCAGTTCCTAATTCTAATGAACAATAAGTATCTGAAGTATCAGTAACACTAAACATTAAAACTTCGATTCTTTGCTCCT